GCGCACGGCATCTCAGAGCTCAGAGTTGCGAGGATGTCTCAGGCGAGACGGGCCGGACCACCTCGCGCAGAGCATCTCAGCTCAGAGTTGCGAGGATGTCTCAGGCGATACGGGCTGGACCACGTCGCGCGCGGCATCTCCGAGGTCAGAGTTGCGAGGATGTCTCAGGCGGAATGGGCTGGACCACCTCGAGCGCGGCAGCTCAGAGCTCAGAGTTTCGAGGATGTCTCATGCGAAACGGGCCAGACCACCTCTCGCACGACATCTCTGGGCTCAGAGTTTCGAGGATGTCTCAGGCGAAACGACCGAACCACATCGCAAGCGTCATCTCGGAGCCCAGAGTTGCGAGGATGTCTCAGGCGAAACGGGCCGGACCACCTCTCGCACGGCACCTCGGGGCTCAGAGTTTCGAGGATGTCTCAAGCGAAACGGCCCGGACCACCTCTCGCGCGGCGTCCCGGAGCGCAACTTTTCGAGGATGTCTCAGGCGAAAAGGCCAATCCCTGCCAACTCAGAAACGAGAGATGTGAGGATGTCTCAAGCGAAACGGCCCGGACCATCAGATTTTTGTGAGGATGTCTCTGCTCCCCTTTCACTCGGCCGGAGTTAGCTTCTATCACAACAGCACCCCGTTCAGCAAGCTGTTTGGGGAACAAAATGGACACCCGCACGCCGAAGCTCTTCGCGAGAAAGATTTGTTCATAAACTGTGGCGATCTCAAAGAAGAGCGACATCGAGACGAGACACTTCCTCTTGGCGTGGCATACTAGCACATTGTGCGCGCAACTCGCTCTCTCTGCTGAGGTCGAAGCCGACTTTCCCCAAACTGCCGAGCGATCGACTTCCTTCTCCCGCCTGCCGATCGTGCGCTGACGGATGCGACTCCAAATGCGCGCCGTCGTGCTGAGGAGTCCCATGGGGCGAACGCCCCCCGTGGGTTTTGGGAGGAAAGCGGTAATGACTGTGAATAGGGCATCGCACACACGGCTTTTTTCCCACGTCGACAGGATGCCGGCTAGTCTCTCCACCGACGTCATGCCGGCATATTTCAACGAACGAGGGTGCAACGCACCCCACCCGAGGGCCGTGCCGGGCGAGAAGTATTTGAGCATGCTGTAAATGTCGTCAGACGAGATGACACCCAGAGTCCACGCAGCCCCCCAAGTGCTAGGGCGCTGCTCATGGTCGCGGACAAGTGGGCATAAAACAACTTTCCAGTCTCTGGTAATTTGTTCGACTGCACTAATCCCAGTTCTAGCCAGACCAGCGGATACAATCGCCTCCTCCCCATTCGGCTTGCTCCGAATGCCTGCGTGCGCCACCTTGGAATGACCGCTGAGAGCTTCTGTAGAGAACTCCCTTCATTGTTTGGCCCTTGCCGTTGCATCAGCCGTCTGTCGTAATCGAACTTCCTTTTCTAAGACATCGTAAAACCATTCACAAAGGCCTCCCCTTGGAAAAGCCAGATCACACCATCCATCCAACCAGGAATTCTTCAGCAGCTCCGAATCCGAAACAGCAATCGGCAGGGGCAGCCCCTGCAGCTTGGAAACCAATCGACCCCGCCTGTCCGGGCGCTTGCTTTTGGCACCGCAAGGCGCCCCGCCCCAGCGCTTGAGCTGCTCCCAGATTTTCAAGGCCGCTCGCCGCGCCGACGCGTCTTCCGTGCCCTGGTAATGCTTCATCCTGGAGAGCCGCGAGGAGAGTTTCACCCGGCGGAGCCGAGGGCCTTTGCAGCGTCCATGAATGGGGGCGCGCTCGTCCTGATCAATCTTGAGGTTGTGGCACAGTTCTTCTTCCAGTTCTCGAAACGCAGAGCGCGCGGCGTCCGGTGATGGAAAAAAACGCTGGCCCCTCGCCAACGCTGTCGGGAATATGCTCCGATCGCGCCTTGGGGCCCTGCCCCCTTGGGACGATAGGGGAGGCCTTGCGCGCAATCTCTTCTCGAAGCATGGGCTTTTCAATGATCCCTGCGATGGGCGCCACAACAGGCCAGCGAGGCGACGCCGGCGCTTCCCCAAGCACTTCCACCCTGCAGTCTAAGGCGTCGATGGCGCTGGACTGGACGAAATCATCGCGCACACACTCACCACGCGTCGCATGCTCCGTCGTGCGAATACTACCATGGATGAGCTCAAGCCAGCCAGTGTTGAGGAGAGCCTCTGGGTCCATGTCCCAGTCCCCTGCCGGAATGAACGGCCACGTCTGTCCCGAGAGAACCGACGCCAGACAGTCCCGCGAGTCAAGGTTCTCCCCAGTCAGAACTGCCGGGGTGGAAGACAGAGTGACCACATCCTGTGCTGCCTGCGGGCCGGGATCTCGACGAGCCCCCTGGATCCAAGACGTTCCTAAGTAATGACAGCGACACTTCCTGAGACCTCCAGGCGCCCAGCCCCCGCCCGGCGAGCAGGGCCCGCAGCCAGTTCAAATGGCCCCGGGCGGCACCGTTGATGCGCGGGGCGCACGGATGGATCATGAGGACAGCGGTGCTCTTGGATGCAAAGAATGTCAGGCAGCTCTCCGCGCTTGCGTGTCTAACCGGAGCCTCGCATCCTTGGCCGACGCCCGGGCGTTGGCATTGAGCGTGGCCAGAGTCAGCGGCCGCCCTTCCAGACGAGAGTCAACCGCCAACGCCGACGACAAGCCGATTGCCCGACGATTGAAACCTCCGTCCTCTGAGGCGTGCGCAGCGCAGATGTCTCTGCCCATCGGGCCCCGCGGATCCCACTGCAGGTCGCCCAGCCGTGGCGACGGGTGGCCAGGCGCAGCTTCCAGCAGGGGTGCTGGCGACGGTGCGGAGCCGGGGCCCGCCGGCTGCTGAGGCCTCGCATGGGCCCCGTTTGGGCCAGCATCACAATATATATATATATATATATATAGATCTATATATATATATATATTCAATTCAAACATAGATTTTGGCCCGATATGGGCTTATATCACAATATATAGGACACACAAATAAATACACAAATAAAAGGATTCCCCATCTTTTCTTATATGTTCTGGGTTTTTGTCTTGCCCACCACTTCCCATATTTTCCTATATTGTCTGGGGAATCGACGATTAATTGTGTCTGTGTGTTTCTTTCCCTCCTGAATCCTCAGGAGCGAAAGAAGGACGTGCACGTACATGAATCCACGCTGGTTTCGAGAGTACGCATTGCCCGAAAGTTCGCATCACGCGGCGGGTCTCGCAGATCGAGGGGCCGTGTTCATGTGCATAGCTGGGCGCGCACGTCCTTCGTGGGCTCCCCAGCATCCGCGCCGCCTCCAGACACCACCAGAGGAAAGACCGATGTAGCTGTAGTTCCAGTAACCGAACTGGACGCCGCACGCTCAGTGGGAGACGGCCTGCTCACGTAAGAAAGTTGCACCGGTTGGCAACTGAATTTGGGGGCATGTCCGAGGGTCCGATCTGCGCAAACTCTTCAGTTTGAGAAAAGATTGCCCCCTCATCAAAGGCACCCCTGCTCCCAATGAACTGACTTAGACACAAAACTTGATTGTGCTGACCGCCCCCTGGCCATATCTCGCGAATCGAGCCTTGCGCCTGGGGGCCTCCAATAAAACGGAATATGATTAGGGTTGAAACCACGCTTTGCCAAGGCTCTCGCCCGTGTAAGCACGAAATCATCCTCGGCACCTTCTGGAAGTAGACTGAGGGGTTCCCGCTGATGGCGGACCTCTTCGATGGTTCGCGAGTCATGGGCCCACGGTTTGACCAAGACATGAGTAGTAGCCGCCGCCAATCCAGGAGGCTGCTCAGGGCCCCCGTCAGGTGCGCAGGCTTGAGCAGGAACATTGCTATCAGTAAGTACAAGGCCGGTCCCTGCAGGAAAGAGAGATGCGTTGGCCACAGCCGCAAACGACGGGAAAGCCTCCGCCAGGGACTTCGCCTTGGGCCCCACCTCCTCCTGGACACCCAGTTCCCCCCGGAGCTCCTGCAGCTTGGTGAGGTTGAGCTGCAGGGCGGGGAGTTGAGTGCCATTGGTGGCGAGGACACCTTCGGTTACCAAGCGGTTCCTCTTAACGCCAAGCTCCTGCTTGGCTGACTCTTGAGACTTGATATCCTCCTCCGCCTGAGCAATGCTGGACATGATCTGCTCCAGCTGTTGTTTCTGGCGATCGAGCGACTCCCTAGCCTTGACGAGCTTCCGCTTTGTTGCCTCGATGCGCGTCGTGGCGATGTGCACCTGCGAGTGACAGGCCGACTGGCCTGGATGGGGGTCTCGGAGCTTGGACCCCTCCGTCTCCAAAGAGCGTCGCAACTCTTCCCATGCTGGACCCGCGAATTTGGCCACCGCGTTGAGCTCTCGCTCCACCTCCGCCAGCCGCTGGCGAGCGGCGGAGCCTGGGAGGGACTCCGACTGCATGGGGATGTCAGCCCCAGCATAAGATTCTGTCTCACCGTGCTCGAGCTTCCAGACTTTCTCGCGCAGCTGTTGCACCTCCTTCGCAGCGCTGGAAGCCCGAGGAGGGGCAGCGCCACACCTAGAACCAGCACCAGGTTTGTCGTGAGAAGAGACCGACGGGGAGGTGGGGACTGCGTTCGAAGCGGGACATACTCCTGTATGCAATCCGCAGGGCGCGCGCGACGTCCTCCCACTGCCGTTGATCCACGGCTTCCCCGTTTGGTCATGAACGCATGATTTGCAGAACCACCTTGGCTTGACAGTGTTCCACGACATCGCGCCGTTCTTCCGAGGCCGAGGGCACGCACGGGCTGCGTGCCAGCCTGTGCCCAGAGCGACGCGCCGCGCGCGGCCCGGACTGCTGCTTGGCGCCCTGCACTCCTGGGCCTTCCCAGAAGCGCACTGGCTTGAGCCACTCCTCCTCCTCCTCCTCCTCCTTCTCCTCCTCCTCCTACTCCTCCTTCTCCTCCTCCTCCTCCTCCTCCTCCTCCTCCTCCTTCCCCCCCTCTCTTTCCCACTCCCCCCCCCCTCCTCCCCTCTCCCTTCCCCCCCTCTCCCTCCCAGCTGACCCCCCGGAGCCTTCGAGGCCGCCTGGCCCGCCGAGGCGCCCGCGCTGCCGGCCGCGCCCGACGCGGACCGCCCGCCTGCTGCTCCTCCCCCTCCCCCTCCCCGAGGAGGCGCCTGAGAGGGACAGCGAAGCTAAGGAGGAGGAGGGGGGAGGAGGAAAAGGGGGGGCTGAGGGGGGGGCTGGGGGGGAGGGGAGGAAGGGGGTGGGGGGAAGAGGGGGGGGGGGAGGAAGAGAAGGGGGGGGGGGCGGAGGACCCCCCCCATCTCCTCGAGGAGGCGGAGGTGGCCGAGCCGTCCTTGGCCTCACAGGCCCACTACCTCGCAGCACACTCCTGGAGCAGCCGGGGTGGACCCGGCGGCTCTCGACGGACTACAAGCAGATGGCGCTCATGTTGAGGATCCGTGTGGACGCGGACCCCCAGTACGAGGAGACGCGGAACGTCCTTGGCCTCTCTGGGCTCGTGGGGGGAAGCAGTGGTGACCGCGCTCAAGCGCTTGAATATCAGGCCCCCGCGAGCGCAGCTAAGCGGCAGCGCGGCGGCCCGGCGGCGCCAGCACCGGGAGTACCGCGGGCGCATCGAGAAAGCGTTGGACGACACGGACGAGCTGCGTTGATGGTGCCACAGCAGCCAGGTGCAGGGGCTCCAGCGCATCTCCGACCGGCAATGGGGTGCCCCAGCCCTGACGGCGGCTGGGTGCCCGCCGGATGCAGTCCGCACCTGAGCTCGCCTTGCACTCCAGGGGGCCATCCAGGTAGACCGGGCTGGCGGCCTCCAGCCGTGCTGGCTTTGCCGCGCGTCTCTTGAGTCTGCGACGCACCTCCTGGCCCAGTGCGAGGAGGCCGCCGACGTGCTAGCAGCGTGAAACACCACAACAGCGGTGCCCCTCCTGGCGCAGCCCGACCGGCGGGCGCGCTGGTTCCTCGGGGACAGCCCCCCCCCCGAGGCGGCGGCGGAGGCAGCGTTCGACATCCGCCGCCTGGAGCAACGCTGCCAGCGCCGCGCGGCGTTAGACCCCTGGTAGCGCCGCCAGCGCCGTGCGATGGGGGGAAGGAAGCCTAGAGGGTCTTTGCCCCCGTGGGAAAGGGGGAACCCCTTCCCCCTCGCCGTCGTCGCCGCCGCTGCCGCTGTCGCCGCTCGGGCGCCGCCTCGGCGTGGCCGCTGCCGCCGCCGCCGTCGGTACCGCCGCCACTGCCAAGGCGCGGGCGTGCCGGAAACGAGGGGGAACGCTCGCGGCCCGGGAGAGTCGCCGAGGCGACGGTGTCTTGGCGGCCCTCCTGGCCCTTTCCCCCCCCTCCTCCCAGCGGCCGCCGGGGTGGTGCCCCGGCCTGGCCCAGGAGCCCCGGGAGGGGCAAGGGGCGGGGGGGGGGCGCGGGCCGATCGGGGCTGCGTCAAGGACCCAAGGCTAATCGCCCCCCCCCCCCCCCCCAAGCAAGGATCGGGTATAGCCAGGACCCCGGGTAAGGGGACCCGGTTAGTGGTAGGGCCCTGGGGCCCTTCACTTGGCCAGATTCACTAAACCAGGTTTGCCGTAACTGGTGTTTTTCGTGTGACGGCAGTTCCGGTTAGCGGAACGGGGCGGGGGGGCGCCCCCTGGTACACATCACGGAACCAGGTTCCACTAAACCCAGTTCTGCCAACGCCCGAAAGGAGGCAGTGGCAGTGCGTCCAGCCCAAGGCCATGAACGGGGCGGTCTGGGATGCCAGTGGACGGGGGGCCCAGGCGTCGCCGGCGGGGGAGTCTCGGGGCGGGGGACCCATGGCTCCGTCGGCCTCCCCCCCCCCACGGGCGGCCCCGGCCGGGGGGGCTCAGGGCGTGCGCCGGGGGGGCGCCGCGCGCGGGGGAGCCCAGGTCCCTGAGGCCCCCCGCGCGGGTGGGGGTGCTTGGGGGGGGGGGGGGAAAAGAGGCCAGGCCTGGGCACTGCCAGTGCATGGCCCTGGGCTTGTGCCGCTGAGCGGGGCCGCAGGGCTGCGGGCGATATTATTTCGGGGCTGGACAGACCTCCTACCCTGACACGTCGATTAGTGAATTGTCCGTTTTCGGTTCTCGAGAGGGCGCCGCGGCCGTCATTTTCCAGGCTTGCGCCCGCCAGGTTTGGGCCCGAGGGCGGTGTCACTAAACCACGTTTTACTAAAGGGAGGTCTGTCCATCCCCGATTATTGGCGGCGTCTCGAGGGGGGTCGCCAGATCGCCCCAGTACCCCCCGGGTACCCCAGCGCACCAGGCTCCGACGTGAGGTCGGACGCCCGCGCGCTGGCTCCCCGGACTGGTGGAGTCCCAAAGGAAGGGCGCGAAAGAGAAGAAGGAGGAGGAGGAGGAGGAGGAGCAGGAGGAGGAGAAGGAGGAGGAAGAGGAAGAGGAAGAGGGACAGGACGGGAGGATGCCTGCCGCCGCAGTCGTAGTCGTCGTCGTCGTCGTCGTCGTCGTCGTCGTCGTCGTCGTCGTCGTCGTCGTCGTCGTCGTCGTCGTCGTCGTCGTCGTCGTCCTCGTCCTCGTCCTCGTCCTCGTCCTCGTCCTCGTCCTCGTCCTCGTCCTCGTCCTCGTCCTCGTCCTCGTCCTCGTCCTCGTCCTCGTCCTCGTCGTCCACGTTGACGTCGTCGACGCACCCTTCCCATTCCTCCTGACCCTCTGTCCTCCTCGTCCTCCGCTTTCTTCCCCCTCCTCCCTGCCCTTGTCCTCCTCCTCCTCCTGCTCTTTCCTACTTCCTTCTCCTCTCTTTCTCCTTTGCCTCCTTGACCCCGCCCTCGGCAACTGCTCAATCTGAAAACTACACGTCCTCTCTTCCCAGATGTTGTGCGAGCAGGCATTGTTTGGTGCCGCGCAGGATTTCAAGCTTCACTCGACTTGTCGATCGCAACTTTCTTATTCCCAGCCCTCCTGCGTTGGGCGCTCGTTTTGAATAGAGCAATGCGCGCGTCGTCTCCGCCTCCTGTCTCCCTCTTCCTCTCATCTTCTTTCCTGCCTCTCACCTTGCTCCTTCCTGCATGCCAGCTTGCCTCCTACCTGGCCATCCCTGGGGTCTGCGATCTGCGAAACTGTCGCCACTTTCGAGGGCTGCTGAGGGTCCAGCAGAGTGGCGTCGTACCAACATTCATATGATACCTCGCCATTCCCTCGGGGAGCTGCGATATGCGAGCTGGTCGCCACTTCGGAGGGCTGCTGGGGGGTCCAGCGGAGTGACGTATTACCCGCACTCCGATGAGACCTCGCCATTCCTAGGGGGCTGCGACCTGCGAAACTGTCGCCACTTGCGATGTCGGCTGGAGGTTCCGCGGAGTGACGTCTTAGCCAGATTCAGATGAGATCACGCCATCCCCGTGGGGCTGCGATTTGCAAAAGGGTCGCCACTTTCGAGGGCTGCTGGGGGGTTAGCGAAGTGACGTCTTACCCGGACTCGGATGGGCCCTCGCTATCCTTGTGGGGCTGCGATTTGCGAACGCGTCACCGCTTTAAATGGTTGCTGGGGGTCCAGCGGAATGACGTCTTACCCAGACTCAGATGAGATCTCGCCATCCGTCGGGGGCTGCGATCTGCGAAACTGTCGCCACTTGGGAGGGCTGCTGGGGGGTGCATCGGAGTGGCGTCTTACGAAGACTCCGATGAGACCTCGTCGTTCCTTGGGGGGCTGCGATCTGCGAAATCGTCGCCACTTTTGAGGGCTGCTGGGGGGTCCAGCGGAGTGACGTCTTACCCACACTCCAATGCGACCTCGCCATCCCGCGGGGGCTGCGATCTGCGAACGTGTCGCCACTTTAAATGACTGCTGGGGGGTCCAGCGGAGTGACGTATTTCCCGGATTCAAATGATACCTCGCAATCCTTGTGGGGCTGCGATCTGCGAAGCTGTCGCCGCTTTCGAGGGCTGCTGGGGGGTGCAGCGGAGTGACGTCTTACCAAGATTCAGGCGAGATCTCTCCATCCTTGTATGGCTGCGATCTGCGAAACGGTCGCCATTTTCGAGGGCTGCTGGGGGGTCCAGCGGAGTGGCGCCTTACCAAGATTCAGATGATACTTGGCCGTCCCTCGGGGGGCTGCGATCTGCGAGCCTGTCGCTGCTTTGGAGGGCTACTGGGGGGTCCAGCGGAGTGACGTCTGACCCAGACTCAGATGAGACCTCGCCGTCCGTCGGGGGCTGCGATCTGCGAAATTGTCGCCACTTTGGAGGGCTGCTGGGGGATCCAGCGGAGTGACGTCTTACCCAGAGTCCGATGATTCCTCGTCATTCTTCGGGGGGCTGCGATCTGCGAACCTGACGCCACGTTCCAGGGCTGCTGGGGGGTCCAGCGGAGTCACGTTCTACGCGACCTGCAGACCTCGCCATTCCTGGGGGGTGCGATTTGCGAACGCGTCGCCACTTTAGAGGGCTGCTGGGGGTCCAGCGGAGTGACGTCGTGCGGGGACCACCAGGAAGCCTCGCCATCCGTGGGGTCCAGCGGAGTGACGCCTTTTTCTTATGTTATCTGGGGGTTGTTTCGAGGTCCGGAGCCGTCAGAGACAAGCCGCAAAGTTCCAGCCCGTTTGATTTCTGGAAGTATCAAGTCATTCTCGCGCCGGCGTGGCCATCTCCCATGCCGAAGTCCTGACGCACACGGCCTGCCATGGCCGCACCGTGCATCGCGCATCGCGTTGTCATTTTCGACGCCAGGTGCAAGGATGAGAAAACATGGATGACCTTTGGCTGCATCTCTACGTGATGTTGTCCAGGACAACGACCGTGGACAATCTCCTAATGATACGCGACCCCAGCCTGGATTTCCTGGCCCGCGGGCCTCCCGCAGACCTGGCGGCGCGCCTTCGAGCGTTTTGCTCCCGCACAGAAAAGTGCAGGATCAAACAGAGAATCTGGCGGGCGAGCTACGCTTCGCTTGGTTTGTCATTTTTCCGAGCGCCGCGGCGACATGGCGCAGGCAACGCTGCATTTTTAGCGTGCAACCGACACTATCAACACTCTTCGGCCTCCTCCCGTTACTTCCGTCGTCGCCCCCTGCCCCCTGCCACCTTCCCTCTGCTGCTGCCGCGCTGACGATTGGGAGCAAGGCTACATCGCCCAAACGTGCAAGGTCCCCGAAAG